GTAGTTCCATGATGTCACTTGTCCTCATAGATCACACTAATGAATTTGACCTACTACTGTGTCCATTGCTTGTAGCACCACTACCACTCACACACAGTAACAGTCTTTCTCTAAGAAATCTCGACTCTTGGAGAACCCTTCTCAACCACTTCAAGTTGGTCTTCTCTAAATATCACCACGTACATAATGGCTAGATGTGAGAGCCCTTATGTCACATAAAGCAACCTACCTTGCTTCCACCACAAAATTTTACAGAGCATGGATAGGACACTGAATGCCAAACTGATGACAGTTGTCAAGTGGGGATAAGCTTCCATATGAGTGTTGGCTTTAGAAAATACCTTAGTGATCACTGAAACTCATTTACATTTGCCACCTATTAGCCCATGGACTAAATCAGCTCGTTCTCTTTTGGTCACTCTTGATTTTTTCTATAAAATCTGAAATTAATATTGCTGGCTTCACACCATTCTAATGAATAATACGTATCTCCGGAATAATTTCCACATTGCCCATTGTATAACAGATAGGTAAGAAATGTGGTTTCTTCCTTCAGTTCTCTCTTTCTTGCTTTTGTCAGGTTTGTGTTCTGATTTTCCAGTCATTCATTCTTTCCAAGCAATCTGATGAAATCTGTAACACATTTCATCCACCCACAAATCAAGTTCAGAAAAGATAGATCTTCTAATTCTGGGCTCCCTGTTGATCATCAGTTACTCAAGTTAGTCGCAAGTCATCGGCCTAGAAAGTTAAATCCTTCTTTATTTTGTGTAACTGGATTTTAAAAAAGCAAAATCCTTTCTTCAAATCCAAATACAACATGTTATTGTATTTTTGGAGTTCTTCAGACTAAGATTATAACCTAAGTCTGTATAAGACATTTTGTTGTATTGTACTTTTTTGTAGAAAACTTATTTAAACTCATCACGCATATGCCTTTGTTAGAAAATGCTTTGTCTTCATTATGTATAAATGTAGAAGATTTCAAGAAAGATGACACTCATCTAATGCCTCCATATAACCAAAAAAAAAAAAAAGGGGGTATTCTTAATGGCACCAGAATTAGCTATATATCAAATAAAATTACATTGGCATAGCATTTTGCAACTTATAAATACTTTTCTATTCATTATTTATTTGATCTTCTCAACATGTCTATAAGATAGAAAAGACACTTACCACTGATTTGCATTTGAAGACATTGAGGCTGAGAGAAGTTATATTAATTGCCCAAGGTCATGTAACTAGGAAGTCCAGAAGCCAGTAGTCAAACCTAAGTCTGACTAAATAAAGATAGAGCCTGAATTCCCACTGTTGTGACAAAAAACCATCCAAGTCTCCTTACTCAATAAGCTGTGCATTTTTTTTTTTTTGAGACAGAGTCTCACTCTGTCACTCAGGCTGGAGTGCAATGGTGCAATCTCGTCTCACTGCAACCTCCACCTCCAAGGTTCAAGTGAATCTCCTGCCTCAGCCTCCTGAGCAGTGCTCTTTTATCTAATCTGTGTTGCTACTTTGCTACCTTCTTTGTAGTTATGTTTAAATATAAAGGAGAGTTCTTTATTGCTTTGATTTGCTTAAGATTCTAGGTGCAATACTTTATGTATTTTACAATATGTAAACTATTTTATATATCTTTTTTTTTTTTTGAGATGGGGTCTCACTCTGTTGCCCAGGCTGGAGTACAGTGGCACCATCTCTGCTCACTGCAACCTCTGCCTCCTGGGTTCAAGTGATTCTCCTACCTCAGACTCCCAAGTAGCTGGGATTACAGGTGCCCATGACCACACCTGGCCAATTTTTTGTATTTTAGTAGAGATGGGGTTTTACCATGTTGTCCAGGATGGTCTCGAACTCCTGCGCTCAAATGATCTTCCTGCCTCAGCCTCCCAAAGTGCTGGGATTACAGGTGTGAGCCACCACTCCAGGCCTTTCTTCTGTGTTTCTTATTACATTTGTGCACATTTCAAATTTGAATGCCAATTTTTATGTAGAGATTTTATATTTTTTATTATTCTTTTATTGATAGTTGGATAGGTTAGTGACTTTACTGTGAAAGTTAATTAGTGAGGATGTACAAGATTCCAACTGATTCAGTGATTACTCTTAGAAATTGTAAGAAACGTGGGATTTAAGGAAATACTGTAACTCCTGATTTCCACTAAATACGCTACGGCAAGAAGATAGTTAAGCTGCAATCATTTAAAGCATACATGTAAGAACAATTTTGTTTTAAAATTAATCTTGACTGATGAATATACTAATAGAATTCTACGTGACAAATTAATTCTGATAAAATTTACAACAAGATCCAGGCTCTTAACCACATCAATAAAGAAAGCTTCTATTTTTAAATTATATATTGCCATTTATATAATTGCACTTTAAATTATAAAATTAAAATGCTATTAATCCCTAATTTCTTGTTTTAAAACTGTAGAACTTTAGCTGTCCCAAAGAGTTTACATTTAATATTCCAAAATCATGCAGCTATGGCAGGCTGAGATTTTAACTCATGTTATCTAACTCTGATTCTTAATCCAGTGCACTTTCCACTACTCGAGGCTTCCTCAATGTGTGAGTCTCCAAATTTTCATAACACAAATGTGTGTCTTTTGAGAAATAAGAAAATACTAATGTCTAACGATAAAAAAATTAAGTTTTATTTGCATTCCACTACTTATCTCAAGTTACTCTATAATTCTTTCATCAACCTGGTTTCAGACCTTGTCTAGTATTTCTTGAAGAGCTCATCAGCTGCAAAACTAAACCATGAAAAACCAGATGTAAACTTGACAGCTAAGAAAATAACTTTTTTAAAGTCTGGAATTTCTTCTAAGATACACAAATGTAATAGCCAAGATGATGAGATAACTGTGAAAAGCCAATGGGGATCTTGAATTGAAATTTATTTTTTGAAAGCCTAACTATGCTTATATGGTGCTCTCAAAATCAATAGTGTCTTATGAGGAATCACAGCCTAAGACTGGCTTTGAATGATCTCACCAAGAGTTTCAAACAGACTGATTTCTTTCAGTGTTGATTTATGTCCTGTGGTGATTAAGAGATTGTTGAAAAGAAAAGGTTTTTCTCTTTAACAAATGGTGGATTATTGTGGAAATAAGTTTTTTGTTTGTTTGTTTTTGTTTTTTTTTTGTCTTTGTGTAGTCATACCTTAAAACATACATTGCATGCTAAGTTTCAGGTCTCAAAAAGTTCTAATGGTCTTCCACAATTAAATTTTATGCCATAAAATTGAAGTTGCTGGCAAAATGCACAGCATCACCAGCTCTGTCAGCTCCTAGGCTTTTATGATGTCTACATACCATAGGTTTTTATATTTGAAGATTTCTCAATAAAAGGTAACAATGGGACCATTTCATTAAATAATAAGCATGGCCTTTGAACAGGTAGGTTCTATTTAAATGCTAATTATCATCATTATAAACTATTTGGAATGCAGCTAAGTGTGGATATACTGATATACAACTTTTTTTTATCTAAAAGAGAGAATAATAACCATGGGTAAAACATGTTGGTTCTTGTACGTGTCAACCTGAGGTAACCATCAATTAGAAATTTTCATATACAAATCCTGCCAAAAGGGATCTAATGCCTAGGTCAAATGGGTAACAAATTATATGGTCTACATAGTTTGTTACCTATTTGACCTCATACACACCCTCCTCACACACATGCACATGCACACACATGTTCAGATAATGGCCTTAAAGACCCCTGACTGCTGCCTGGAATTCTGACAATGCATTTATTCACTAACCGTTTTTGATTGCCTATTATGTGTCTTGCACTGAGGGGTAAGAAAAACGAATAAGAAACTATTTATGCCTTCTAGAAGATAGTAAGATAGGTAAAAAATGGAAACAAATAATTATTCAGAACAAAAAAAAGTAACAAGGGATACAGATAAGATAAGGAGATATTAACATCTAAGTGTTGAGGGAGTGAGCACTGAGGAAGAAGAAGAAATAGAGAAGGTGAATTAGAATCGTCTCTCGAAGGGTGGACAGAATTTAGACACATAGATATGTAGACACGGGAGTAGGGGCATTCCAGGCTGAGAGAATTGGATAAATTAGAGTTGTTGGTTATTAAGAAATATAAAATAAAATAGCTTACATATTGTAGAATACAGAGTTCAAAGTATTTTGCATGGAATCTTAAGCAAATCAAAGCAATAAAGAATTCTTCTTTATATTTAAACATAACTACAAAAAAGGTAGCAGGTAGCAACACAGATTAGATAAAAGAGCACTGCTTATTGAGTAAGGAGATTTGGATGGCTCTTTCTCATAACAGTGCAGACTTTGGGCTCTGATTTGTCTTTCTCACATCTAATTAAATCTCTACTTTGCATCCAGAGTAACTTTTCCAGACTATGTAATTAATTCCGTTACTCTTTGGTAGATTGTTATATTAATCCCCTCCCCCACTCCAATGAATCATGCCTCCTGGTTATCATACACTTATGTAGTTTGTTCCTAACCTGACTGAGGACTTAGACAAGTGACTTAATTTAGGCCAAGAAACACCAGCAAACGAGACACATGCAGAGGCTGGATATGTACTTATTCATTGGAATTTGCCCTCTGGAATACTGCCATTATTATGTGAAGAAGCCCAAGCTAAGACTAAGGAGGAGGGTATGGATGGAGCCAGTGTAGGAGGTTGCTAAAGATTTGGGGTTTTTAAAATACCTATTAAATATTGTCTCACCTTGACTCAATGACATCAGGCCACATAATTTTGTACTGTTTTTTCATCACATTCAATCCTGCTTTTTTTTCCTTTTTGAGATGGAATCTCGCTCTGTCATCCAGGCTGGAGTGCAGTGGTGCAATTTTGGTTCACTGCAACCTCCCCCACCAGGGTTTCAGCAATTCTCATGCCTCAGCCTCCTCAGTAGCTAGATTTACAGGCATATACCACCAGGCCTGTTGAATTTTTGTATTTTTAATAGAGATGGGTTTCACCATGCTGGCCAGGCTGGCATCAAACTCCTGACCTCAAGGGATTTGCTTGCCTCAGCCTCCCAAAGTGCTGAAATTGCAGGCATGAGCCACCATGCCTGGCCCATCACATTCAATCTTAATCCCCTGTTCTCCAAATATCCACTGTGAGTTCTCTGTTATTCAGGTACGAAACTGTAGGCAACTGAGTGGAAGATAGTTATTGTGGATAGAAAAGAATGCAAAATAGGTGTCATTAGTGATGTCAGACTGACAATGCCACATTGTTGAATTGATTGTTGGTAATGAATTCATTCAGTCTTCCATGTGTTTATTCTTTCATTCACATAGTAATCATTTATTTAAACATTTATGAAAAATTTAGCATATGCTGGGCACTATAGGAACAGAGAAAGAAATAAGGCTCTTCTGAAAAGCATATAAATAAAAGTAAATATGTTGGTCACACTCAGGCTTGTCTGAAACAAATGAGAAATCTCTGTATATCAGTATAAAAAAACACTAAATATGATTTATTTATATTAGTATAACACAACACTAAATCTAAATCTAAATATATGTTATTTATTTTACTTTTCTAGCAACTTCTCAATATAGTCACACAATACTTTGCACTATATAAAGTACATTTCACACCTCATCTTAATCCCAAGCTATATTAAGAAAGCTATTGTTTCTAAAATAGTGGTAATTAGTTATAAAGGTGTTGTTACAGTAGAGCCACATATTCTTCCTAAATTTTAAGAATATTGTACAGTCTGATATGTTAATGTTTAAGAAATTAACTGATGTCTTCTGAAAAAATGTATTTAATCCACAGTACATGTGCCATTACATTTAACAAAACTAAAAAAATAGCAACTTCTGTGGAAGGTAATTGGAGATACTTTAATTCTGTATAAAGAACATGGCATACTTTGAATGCAAGTGTCAAAAATTTACGCTTATAGTCGGATTCTACATTCCACTTGGTGTTTTAGTGTGCCTCCAAATTATTGTATTATTTAATGTTATTTCTTAATAATGTTCCAAGTGTCTTCAAGAGAATAGAAAAGAATGTGTAAAGTTAGAACAATATATAGATTTCAGTAAAATCAGTTGCAATCATTTCTCTTATCAGTGTGATTGCAGATGATTTAACATTGATATATTTATCATTTAGAAGGCTTTAAGATACATATCATGCATTGGATTTCACAACAAGTACATCCTTTTCCATGGCTATTTGCTGTATGATAGCAGAATAGGAGTGCTCTACAAGTTTTCACCTCATCATAACCTACTGAAAAAAAAAGAATGAATCATCAAATACCTACAGAGTGACAATTTTATAATGGAGCTATTGCGTTTGTTAGTGTATTTATGGTATCTGAATTAATCACAGTTTTAAAATTCTATGAAATCTTTACTTGAAAATATTCTGTCCATATATAACAATCTATGCTGGCTATTTTACAATTTTGATTATTTTATAACAAATCATTCTGCATTTTCTCTAAAATTTATATCTTGACATTTTGATGTAAGAGTCTAATAGTGTTTCATTTTAAAGAATAAAATATGCATGGAGTTTTGTATGAGGAAATTATAACAATAAAAGAAACATAGGGCCATTTGTCTGGCATACTAATTTTAGCCTTTATTTCACCCAGTTATACTTGGAATTGTGATTCTGCTCATGAACTTGTGTCAAGCAATGGACAGAACATTTTTGAGTAGCGTTGATGCCTTTTACATTGTTCTGCTTCTCTTGCTATTCAGCAATGCACATTCTGATGTACCTGTATATTAGCATATGTAAATTGAACTTAGTTTAAAAACATCAATTGCTTGTTTTAGGGCAAATGCTATGTTGGTGCAAAGGAGCTAGGCTGAATAATGTATCTCTTCTGCCATCATTGAACTTGAAAGCTTATAAGAAAGACAAGCAAATCAGTAGGTACAAAAGACATCTAACCATTCAGGAAATTCTGCCAACTCTCTTGAATGTATGTCCAGAATTAGACCATTTCTCACTATCACCATCACTGCCATCTTGATCCAAATCACTCATCACTCACCTGGACTATCATAGTAAATCCCTCATTCATCTCTCTTGTTTCTGTTCTTGCTCCTCCCAACTCTTTGTCCTAACATCAAAAAGTAACAAAAGTCATTAAAAAAATAAAAGTCAGATTATGTTACTCTTACACTCAAAACCTTCCAATGGCTCCCTAAATCACTTGCTGTAAAATTCAAAATACAATGGTCTAAAGCGCTGTACATCACCTGGTCCTGTGAAAACTCTGACACAAATTCCTTCTCTTTCTCGTTTACTCTATTCCAGCCACAAGGGCCTCTATTTTGTTCCTAAACACTGTAAGCATGCCCAATTTTAGGCCTTTGCACTTGCTGCTCCCTCAAGTTGAAACAGTCTTCCCCCACCCCATATTGCTGTACTTATTTCCATCCACACTCAGATATTATCGTATTAGTGAGTCCTTCCGTTGTAGGTCAAATAGCCACCTCCACCCTTGCAGCTTTTCCTGTTTTTTTTTTTTTCTACTGTGTTGTATTTTTCTACACATAGCTTACATCCCTCTGACCCATCATTCATTTATTTGTTAAATGTTCATTGTCTTGTCATACTATATGTAAATACTGTGAGTATAGCGATTTATGTATTTTGTTCACTGCTACAGCTATGGCTTGAAAAACTGTCTATTTTTCTAACGTTTATTATCTCTGCTTTCATTGTTTTCACCTGTTATGTTTATTTGATAAGTCCTTATTACTTTTTAAAAAATATTTCTATAAAAATCTTTGCCTTTTAATATTGGTCTTTAATACAATTACATTTATTATCATACCTGGTATTGAATTTTACTAATTTTTGGTTTTTATACTCTTTCTACTTTATTGACCTTTATGCTTTATATCTTTATGCTTTTTTGGCATTTTCTTTTTTATAACTTTCCTATATAGACTAAATTTTCTTTGCTTTTCTGTTCCCAGTAATTTGAACAATATATCTCCCGGTCTCGGTTTTAGATTATGGTCATGTTTATATTTTTATAAGTCACTGTTAAACCTATTTCCTCTACTTAACATGAGTGAGACGAGAGTCCTAGCTTTTGGCCAAGCTACAGCTACGACTGGTATGCAGACATTCTGGTTTGCCTTCCCGAAGGGAATATGCTTTAGATAGTTGTCATGAGAAGTTTTGTGGACACAGGGAACATAAAGAATTATCAGTCTGGGAAGAGGAGTTTTTCTAGGGTGGCCCCATCTGAGACTGGTCCCAGGCTCCACCTCAAAGTTTCAGTTCTGAGATCTTGGAGGAACATGTTGTACATGGGAGTCACATTGCCCTTTTCACCAGAGTATCTCTGGTTCTCAGGTGTCCAAAGATAGCACATAACTGGGGAAAGGGAGCTCTTCTTGCTTTGGCATGAAGCATAGCGTAGCACTGAAATTCAAAGACGTGAGGAATTTAAAAAGCAGAGTCAAATTTTCAAGTGAGGGATTTGTAGCAGCCTGGGTTATAATAACCTTGTATGCCATTGTAGGCACTTACCAAAAGGGACCTTAGTGTGGTGCCTTTGAATGGCTACACTAGTGATGGACAGTAAGGAGCAGAGCTGAAGAAGGAGCTGAGGAACTGGCACAGAGCAGCTGAAAAGAAGTCTTTGTTAGCATGTGTGACATAGTTTTGGGTGCCTAGAAGTTGTTGGAATAGATTACTCCAAAAGGTAGAGGCTTTACACTAGTAGGTGTGATAGTGGGAAGATGGCTTATACAGTCAAATCCAAGAACATATTATAACTCTACATTCCCCTGATAAAAAGCAACAAACTTAATATGCCTCTATTTCCCATTCCTCTTCTACTCAATATTTTCTAGTGTAATTGAAATTAGAGTGAATTTTAATTGATTTTTTTCTTACTCTTACATTAAATATCTTCTTTTTCAAGAATAATTTTTGCCCTTACAATTTAATGTTGTTATATTCACTAAAATCATTTAGAAAAATGTTTGACTGGTGGTAGTGTTCTCTGGAATTTTATATACGATGTTTTCTTCATTTATGTCTTTTTATTTTCCATTAATTTCTCACAAAATACATCTTTGTGTAAGAGTCCACGATGTGTGTATATTTTTATCCTTTGAATATCTGGTTATTTCCTCCCATTGTTTTTAGATAGACAAGGGCTTAGCTTGGGTGTTGCTAGCTCTTACTCTCACCTGAACTCCAGAATCCTGTGGCTATCTAACGGTCATCTCCACTTGAAAAGATATCTCTGTTAATATGTTACATTAGGTAATTGTATAACATATTAACAGAGATATCTTTTAAAAATTGAAATTTCAGGGGCATAATAATGTTATTTTGGTTTTTCAGGGAAATATACTTGTTCTTAGGATATATGTGTTGAAGTATTAGGTGTCTTAGCAACTTTGAAAATGTACCGCTCGGATCTCCTGTAGACAGGAGCAAAATTGACTACCCTGGTAGCTTTATGTCATGTACCTCCCTGTTCAAGCCAGTGTACCCTTCATGCTGCTCCCAGTCTGTGGCTGTGCATAGTAGGTGTACTAATGCAACTCATGCCCTTAAGAAGCGGGACTCCATTAACAGATGGCTTGGGCTCAAGGATTGAGCCATTGGCCTTAGCCAAAACTTACTCAGAAATGTGCTGCATTCTGAAATTTTTTCTCCCCAGTCTCCTTGTCTCCCTGTTCTTCACAGGAGTCTCAAGTATCTCTCAGCCTTCACCTGCTGCGCCAACTGTTTACTTCTCACAGCCCACACAATACACCTCTTGTAAGTCCAATTCTATACTGGCACCTACTTCACAGAGGGTCTGAGCCTACAGGATTACATGCTATAATGTCCAAGTGGTTCAGAAGGAAAGTGTACGTGTGTGTGTGTGTGTGTGTGTGTGTGTGTGTGAGAGAGAGAGAGAGAGAGAGAGAGAGAGAGAGAGAAAGAGAGAGAGAGCAAGAGAGATGGAGAGAAAAAAGAAAAAAGGAAGAGAGCAAATGTTTCAAAATATTAATAATTGATACATTTAGGAGAATACTATGTGTATTCATTTCACTATTCTTTTTAAGATTTGAAAGTTTTTAAGTAAAACGTGGCTGCTAAAATATAAAAATTTAAAAATTACTAAAAAAAGAGATATATAAAGCTCAACATGTGTGTTGACGAGGCATCTATTTCCAATTTCAACCTCTATTCTCCCCAGTAACAAATCCCTGATTTTATTGGGCCACATTGCATCCAACCTAGAATTTTATTTCAATTAAAACATCAACTGACTCTCACATTCAAGCAATGGAAATACAAGAAAACATGTTATATGGGATTGTGGGAAATCTTCATAAAAGGTAGGAGGTATTCCCTTTTCACCCTCTCCTTTAGGGCTTCCTGAACTGTGTATGTGATTGCTAGAGCTCAAGGAGCCATCTTGGAACACAAGGCAAGGCATCAGAAAGAGCAGATCAGCGAGAAAGAAGGCGTCTCAGTTCCTAATGACTGAAGCTACCACTTCAGCCATAGAATCCTGCCTCTAAGACTCTGAAACGTAAGGGAGAAATAAACTCTTACTTAGTTCAAGAAATTGTTATTTGGTGCTTTCAATTTATTTAGGCAGCTTAACCTAATGCTTTTTTTTCTTTTGTGATAATTTATATTAGGGTTCTGAGTAGTAATTTTAATCTTCAAAATTTATTTGAGGAGATACTGGATTGCAAAAGTATTTTTTTAATATATAATACTTTAAGTTCTGCAGTACATGTACAGATCTTGCAGGATTGTTGCATGGGTATACACATGCCTTCGTTGTTTGCTACCTCCATCCCCCTGTCACCTACATTAGGCATTTCTCCCAATGTTGTTCCTCTCCCAATGTAGTTCCTCCCCACCTGCTACCTGCCTCCCCTATCCCCCATCACCCAACAGACACAAGTGTGTGATGTTTCCCTCCCTGTGTCCATGTGTTCTCACTGTTCAACACCCACCTATGAGTGAGAACATGTGGTATTTGGCTTTCTGTTCTTGTGATAAAAACAAGCAATGGGGAAAGGATTCCCTGTTTAATCAATGGGGTTGGGAAAACTGGCTAACCATGTGCAGAAAACTGAAAGTGGACCCCTTCCTTATACCTTACACAAAAATTAACTCCAGATGGATTAAAGACTTAAACTTAAGACCTAACACCATAAAATCTCTAGAAGAAAACCTAGGCAAAACCACTCAGGACATAGGCATAGGCAAGGACTTCATGACTAAAACAACAAAAGCAATGGCAACAAAAGCCAAAATAGACAATGGGATCTAATTAAACTTAAGAGCTTTTGCACAGCAAAAGAAACAATCATTAGAGTGAACCGTCAACCAACAGAATGGGGAAAAAATTTGCAATCTACCCATCTGACAAAGGGCTAATATCCAGAATCTACAAAAAAAAAAAAAAAAAAAAAAAAAAAAAAATTTAAAAAAAAAAAAAAAAAAACTTCATCCAAAAGTGGGTGAAGGACATGAACAGACACTTTTCAAAATAAGACAGGTATGCAGCCAACAAACATATGAAAAAATGCTCATCATCACTGATCATTAGAGAAATGCAAATTAAAACCACATTGAGATATCATCTCACACCAGTTAGAATGGCAATCATTAAAAAATCTGGAGACAACAGATGCAGGAGAGAATGTGGAGAAATAGGACCACTTTTACACTGTTGATGGGAGTGTAAATTAGTTCAACCATTGTGGAAGACAGTGTGGCGATTCCTTAAGGATCTAGAAATAGAAATACCATTTGACCCAGCAATTCCATTACTGGGTATATACCCAAAGGATTTTACACCGGTCTGTTATAAAGACACATGCATATGTATATTCATTGTGGCACAGTTTACAATAGCAAAGACCTGGAACCAACCCAAATGCCATCAATGATAGACTGGATAAAGAAAATGTGGCACATATACACCATGGAATACTATGTAGCCATAAAAAAGAATGAGTTCATGTCCTTTGTAGGGACATGGATGAAACTGGAAACCATCATTCTCAGCAAACTGACTCAAAAGCATTTTCAAAAGAACTTCATTGTAGTCCAATGTGAATTATCTATCTTTATTTGAATGTTAAATATTATAAAATGTCAATTTTACATAGCAAAGAGCATTTCTAATTGGCTAAAAATTTAAGGAAGATAGTTGGCATTTATAGCTCAACCTAATCTTACACTGATATTCTGTCCAAGCTAAAGACTCAGTTTCCATCTTCACCTCCAAAACAAAATTCTCCCAACCCATTCTTCTCGGTGCTCAAGAGAAAAAATAAATAAATAAAAATCATCATAAACTTTCTTTTTTTTTTTGAGACAGAGCCTCACTCTGTCGCCAGGTGCCAGGCTGAAGTGCAGTGGTGCAATCTTGGCCCGCTGCAATCTCCACCTCCTGGGTTCAAGCAATTCTCCTGCCTCAGCCTCCTGAGTAGCAGGGACTACAGGCGTGCGCTACCATGCCCAGCTAATTTTTGTATTTTTTAGTACAGACGGGGTTTCACCATGTTGATAAACTTCCTTTTAAGTCAGTTTCTTTCTTAGATGTTTATAGGATACCTTCAGTAATTGCAGTTTTATAATTCACTAGGATATGCTTAGATGTGGCTGATTGCTCCTACTTAGCAAGTGGGTAATAATCACAAAGGGGCGCTTAGATGCTTTATCATAGTTCCTTCTTGTTTCTTCTTTTGCTCTGTTTTAAAGTTCTAGGTTTAAATTAACAAAGAATTATTTTTTTAACCAGTCCATCTCTATTAGCTTTCTATGGCTACCGTAACAAATTATCAAAACTTGGTGGCTTAAAACAACAGGAATTAATTATTTCACAGTACTGGAGGCCAGATTCAAAGTTAAGTGTCAACAGGATGGTTCTCTATCTAGAGGCTCTAGGGAAAATTCTGTTCCTTGCCTCTTGTTTCTGGTGTTCTTGGTCATATCACTTCAATCTCTGCCTCCTTCTTCGCATCACTTTCTCCTCTGTGTGTTCCTGTCCTCTTCTGTCTCTTATAAGAACATTTGTCATTGGATTTAGGACCCATCCAGATAATCCAAGATGATCTCAGCTCGAGAAACTTAATATTTAATTATCTATAAAAACCTTTTATCCAAATAAGATAATATCCACAGAGTCTGGGGATTAGGAGCTGGACTTATCTTTTGAGGCCACCATTCAACTTACTACACTATCCATGCTACAATTAGGGGTGTTTCCTTTGAAAGTTCAGCCAATCATTGATTTGTGCTATTGTGTACTGAGTGTATATCACAGTGCTATTGTGAATTTGTGTGTATGTGTGTTTGTGATGTGTGTACATGTCTGTATATGTTTTGTTTTTCTCTGGTACTTCAAAAGGAGGCTTGAGGGTGCCCAATAACCTGTGTCTACAAACTAGATATTTAGCGTATATTGAAACAATATAATCCATTATTTTTCAGACAAAAGTTTCCATCTAGTTTTCTGCTCTCAGGCAGAAAATTTGGATAACGTACGCAGGATATTAACAAAGTAGCATAACAAATGAAAGTTGCTGACAAAAGCTAAATATTCTTATATTTTTGCATTAAACTCACATCTCTGGGATGACTATGATGTTCCAGGAATCATGCTAAGTATAGAAATGATTAAAATACATATATATTGTATTTGCAGATTTCATAATGTATTTAGAGGGTGTGTTACAACATAAATGGCTGTACATCAAAGTAGAAGATAATAAAGATCTGAGGAGAGAATAAATTCAAATGGCATGGGTGTCAGGAAGACAGTTAAGACAAAAGGCAAAATACTTTAGGGGAGACAGTTGATTCCTTAATATATAAGTATGAAATGAATGAGTAAATAGATTTGGATGTATTTTTTATTCACTTGTCACTACAAGAGAAGTAGAAATCTGTGTAACAAAAGCCAAAAATTAAGTAGAAGTACTACTATATTTGGAGGAGGGAAAACTGTGAATAAATTGTTTGCTATATTTAAATTAATATATTTTAAAGCTACTGTTTGAAATTAAACATTTTAGAATTCACATAACTCATTCTTTGCATCTAATTGTTCAAAGAAAAGGAAGAAAAGAACATTGTGAGACTTTAGAAAGACTGCCAGAGGAAGGTACTGGGATTTGCTTCTGTGCAGTGTCTTCCTGAATTTCACTTTGCCTTTGAGGATAGGCACAGGGCTTGAGAAATACTTCAAAGAGGTTTTCCGGCCAGCTATGTTTTGCCAAGTTCTCACAGCTTTCTCAAAGCTTTCAAAATTATTAAATACCAACATACATCTCCTACACTTTTACTTTATCAGGAGAGAACACTGCAAGCAGCATCACAGCCTTCAGGATTCTTTATCATGTCATAAAGCAGCTGCATTCAAACTGCAATGCTTCCACTCAAGCCATAACAAGGCAATGTTGACATTAAGATGCAATGTTCCACAGATGCCAGTTTTAGCAATGGCTATAATAAGTGTCAGAGAACATTATCACATGGTAACTCTTCAAGTTGGGAATGTGACTTTTGTCAGTCTTTGAAACTAACTGATTTCAAACTTCTGTGCCACCTTAGAAGGAAAAAAATGGCTTACTCTTACCTATATTGTCAGGAATTGTAATTAGTTTTGTTCTTTTTCTTATCTTAACCCATGTATGCTGGAGGTTGCAATTTTTTTAATTTTTGCATGAGTGAAAAATCAGACCTTGGCAATGACCTTGAGCAATAGGATGTAAATAACTCCCACACACTTGGAGTTCCAATAATGGAACACTAAGCATACGTGGGTTTAAAAATATCTATTCTCTATCCATAGTCAGCATCAGTTACTTATCTGCTTTTAGGTGGAAGAGCAACTACTGGAATTGTCCTGAGTCTCTATGAAGTTTAAAGGCTCTTCCTGATATTTGACAAGCCCTAGAACCTGCCAACATGAATAACAGTTACTGAACGTCCAGCGTGTAAAAATCAAAACCAAAACTTTACCCAATTCTAATCTCTGAAGATTTAAAGAACAAAAAGGATGATTCATGTTTTTAAGGTGCTTACAGCCAAGTGGGTGTTCAGAAGTGTGCATAAATGATGAATGATTACATTTGTATAGTGCTTTGCAAATTACTAAGGTCCTATAGACTTATTGCTTAATCCTTACAATAACCTGGCAAGATAGCTCTTAGAGATAAGAGAAATTGAGGTAACATATTTAGAAATAAGCAGTTTGAGGTAATTTTTTTTAAAAGAAAAGCAATTTATTGGCAGAGCTGTAGTAAAGTCTAAGTCTTTTTTCTCTAAATTCACTGTTCTTTCTATACTATAGTATGAATTAAGTGCTGTAAGAATTTAAACCAGAAAGAAAGATGATTGTAAAATGGGAAAATGGTAGAGACTTCACAAGGATAAGTGGCTTAGCTTGATTGCTAAGGATAAGAGAACTGACATCACCTGACTATCTGGCAGGGATAAAGACATAAACCATTCCGTGTCATTGAGGAAGGGGATGTGCTGGGCCTTCTCAGGCCCACTGTGTAGCATACCACTCTCAGGGCTCTTAACATGGAATGCCCTCCTGGTCACCAGGCTCTCAGTTTTTCAACCTTCTGAGTGCATTTTTCCAAGTTGGGCAAAATTTGAAAAACCAAGTTACATGCATGTGTGGGAGGAAAGAAGAAATCTTGATTGCTTTTTTAATTATTTATTTCTTTTAATTTTTTCAGCACAATTGCTTCTCTTTAGAAACCTACTCCTCATAAGAAAGGACATTTTAAATTGGAGCAATAAATATTTACTCACTTGCAGCCTTTAGAACCATAATGTGCTAATACCTTCTACAAAAGCTAATGTCTTAAGGTGGTTTCTACCTAAGGTTATTTATTCTTTTGCTCGCTATTTAAGATTGTTCACACATCCCCTATACCTGAAATAAAGTGAAAGTATATGTGTATTTTTTATCACTCTGGTGAGAAATATCTCATTTGACTTTTTTTATTTCTGTCCTATTAGAAACCGACCAATTCTCCAATGCTGGCATTTCATTTCCATTATTTCTTTTTTGAGAAAACACTATATGTCAGGTTTATGCTATATGATTTTTTCCACCCATATTATTTTATTTCATCTTTACTAAAAAATCTCACATTGCTAAAGAAGAGAAATGTGAAGCTTAGTAAATTAATTTCTTCCCCTCCCCCATCACTCAGTGAACTAAATGGCAGAGCTGATATTTGAACCCAAATCCCTACTTCACAGTCCCTTACTCATTCCACATTCCACAAGAGCTCTCTAACCAAACTTCAAGTGCATGAGTTTAGGGCCACTTCAGCTCATCCTCTCCTGGAGACCAGCCACTGAAATTAATGTTTGCATTTGTTTTCTTGACTATACAGGATATGTGGGTAATCTTTTTAAGATTCTTGTTTCCATTACCACGGAGTTAAATAGAACAGCTATACATAAATCAAGACAAAAAAAAAAAAAAACACTAAATTCTTTAGGAACAAAATGTTCTGCAACAGGGATAAAATACAGAATACAAAGTATCCACAACGTGCTGGATAGCCTGTAGACATCTTTAGAATACTAATCATGTGTCACTTCCATGATGCATACAGAGTCTCAGCAGCTATTGGTAAACTGGAATAAAATCACTGGGTAACTTTTGGCTTTGTTTTAGTTGGTAGATTCATGAGTAACCTGATCACATAAAGACATCATCATGAAATATGCATACGGTTGAACTGTTTAGTCACACATCACATTTTCTATTAACACATTCTCATTAGATTTTCTAAACACTATCAGGGTAATTCATCCTTTCATGCTTCAGCTTATCTCCTCCTTCAGATGCCACAGGTCCCTTCTACCACCACTTTCCCTCCCACCCCTCCTGCATGCACACTCCACACTCTCGCCTTCGTGCGATCCCTCCTTCTTTTTTCTCTCCCTGTTTCAGACTTTTCCTTAATCGTCATTTCTGGTGTCCTTTGTTGCACATACTTTCTTTAGCTTATAGACTGCACTCTTCTAACACTCATTCTCCTTGCTTCCACTGAAAACAATATTCAAAACAGATGTTCCCAAATTAATTCAACAAATTAGAAATCTAGGCCATACTTTCTAATTTAACTTTACTTAAATCATTCTGTGTGACCCTGTCAAAGCATATGTGCAGGAAAGTAAACGAATTCGGAAACCAGCAAAATCTGGATTCTAATCATAATTCTGACACTTTATCAAATGTGTGACCTTATACCTCAGTTGTAGAGATGAAATATGAATATCACCATATAAGGCTACTGTGGAGACCAAATGCGATGAGGAATTTAAAATACCTAGCTGTGTTACCATAAGGCAGTTGCTTAACCTCTCTGTGATTACGTTTCTTCATATAGTTAAACTGTTTAGTCACACATGACATTTCTCTTAACATATTCTCATTAGATTTTCTAACACTATCAGAGTAAATTATCCTTTCATGATTCAACTATCTCATTTTCATATTTAAAATGACGTAATAATTATATTGGGTCGTGTGAATATTAAACTGGTTAACGTATGTTGCTTACAACTATGCCCAGGACAGAGTAATTCTATCATTATAATTATTTAATATCTAGCATCATGGCTACCATTGAAACGAGAGCCCCTATAGTTCTATAAATGAGATATTAGAAGACATAGTCATAGATTATTGATGTCAAGTGGAGATAAGTGTACACTATTGAATTGAGTAATACCTAAAACACGTAATGGATACATTAGAATAGATTTGAAAATAGAATTGATAGGACATGGTGACATTTTATGAGGGAGCTCAGGAAGAGGGAGGAATCAAGGATGGCCCCAAAATTTTATTTGGGTAACTAAATTCATGATGATGACCTGCCCTAAGAGGAAAGAAGCAAGCAGAGGGCTCAAAGGCATTACATGGTATAATATGAAGCCTAAAATATTCCATTGGATTTAGCAACTTTATAGTTTACATTGGACATGTTTATTGGGGTGATAAAGACAAAGTGAGACTATAGTGGATACAAGAGGGGATGGTGGGTAAAGAGGTAGAAGCAGAAAGCCCTTTAGGAATATTGACTATAAAGAAGAGAGAAATAGAGGCTGGTCACAGAGGCTTGAATCTGTAATCCCAGCAATTTGGGAGGCCAAGGCAGGTGCTTCACTTGAGATTAGGAGTTTGAGACCAGCATGGCCAACATGATGAAATCCCATCTCTAATAAAAATATAAAAACTAGCCAGATATGGTGGCAGTCGCCTATAATCCATACTACTTGGGAGGCTGAGGCAAGAGAGTCACTTGAACCCAGGAGGTGGAGGCTGCAATGAGTCAAGAGATCATGCCACTGCACTCCAGCCTGGGTGACAAACCGAGAGTCCATTTCCAAAAAAAAAAAAAAAAAAAAGAAGAAGGAAGAAGAGAGAAATAGAATGTTGCTCAAAAGGTTACTTTGAAGAGTCAAGATGTTATATCAGTAACTATACTGATTATTTACAACCATAGTGTTTCTTGAGCTGCTATGATTTGCTTAGATCATGGGGGACAAATGATTCGAAGTGGCTTAAGAATGGTTTTAATCCACCTGGAGAAATAGGAGATATGTGTAAAAAGAAAAAAGTAGTATGTGGAAAAAGTAGTAAGAAGAGAAAACAAATACCAAGTGCCAACTGTATGGAACTGAAAATAGTTATAAGCATTTAGTCTCAATGATGCAGGCTAGAATATTTGGGTAACAATTCAAACAGCAGACAAGACAAGCTTGTTTTAAAATCAGGACAAGGAACAAGTTGGTCAGGAAGGGCATGAGGCCAGAGTCATTGGTGTGAGTAAAGCTTCAGGCAGAGGGGCCTGGCTTAGGCATGGCAGTCAATGATTAAGGGATAAATTGAAGAGTGTTTATTCAGCTCGTTTCCTCATCTCTACTGGAAAGGTGAGTTCATTGGAAAGATGTGTCCTGTACAATATCCAGCAATGTAGTAAAAGCCAAGTAAATATTTCATAAATATGTATTGGGTAAATGTTGAATATGTAGAAAACCTATAGATAAGAATTTTCCTGGAGTTGGACTAAAAGGGGAAAATTAAGGTTTTAAGTCTCAGCAAGTCTATTTTGAGTCACAAATTGGATATTTATAACAAATATGAAACAACAATTTGGTCTGATAATACAGAATTCAATTCTAGGGAAAGTTGCTGCTAAATGTGACCACCCCATAAAATTCTCCCATGCTTCTCTCTTTCTTGCCCTTTACTCCTTCAGTGTCAGGAATACATTTTAATTCAATATGAGTTCACTGGTTACCAATAAATCCCCTGGCGTGGTTCTTGCTTCGGTGGCTCTTATAACCTTATTGGAACAAATGCTATGAAAGCCAGGATGAGAAGAAATCACCAAGCAGGGTCCTGAAATATGGGGATATTTATTTAGAGAAAACATTGGAAGTAAATTCAAACTTGGAGGAGACACCATGAACAAAGGGAAGGAAAGAAGCAAGAAGGAGCTAGAGGGTATTCTGGGGACAGTCACATAGCATTGACGAAGGGTTAGAGCTAAAATAGCCCTAAGCTGTCATGGTTGATAACTTACAGTCCTGTGACTAATACCTTCTAGCTCACAGGGATAGACTATCTGGTGTCTTGAAAAAATAAACAGCTTCTCTTCTCAGCAACTGAAGAGAAGCTGAATGGTTCAGTGAGTTTAAAAAAAAAAAAAAGATATGTTCATTTCTTGTGAATTTTCAAAGTGTCCTTGATGGAAGGCATATGGAACTGAGTACATTTTTAACCTGCCCTTTGGCAGAGACGGGCATTTAGCTTTCCTGTGCTAAGTGGAGATGGAGATACCATAATAAAAGCTATAGCTTCAGATTAGTCCAGTAGGTAAAAGTGGTTTCCTTTCCTGAGTTACCAACAAATCCCAGCTTTCCAAAGGGCTTCAAACAAATTCCCCTGAAGCCACACTTTTAAAAACACTCATCTGAGGCTCCTTCTGAGAGGTTAGAAGGAGACACTTCTTAGAGGTCAAGCTCTGCAGGAGCAAAGCCTCTGTTCATCAGAGACAGAGCTGCCTCTCCTGCTCAATTGGAGTTGCCCAAGTCTGAGGCATCTCTTCTTAATACGGAAAACCTTGTTTGTTTATAAAGCCCAGCTGTCCTCATAGTTGTTATTCTGAAGCTCAGCTCTCCTCTGCTTGACACATGTACGCCTATGCCAGGGTCTTCTAACAGGAAGCTTAGCACACAAAATGTCAATGGCATCTTTCTTTTTCCTCCTCCTTGTCTTTCATCTAGTTCTTCCTTTATTCTCTCCTCGCTCTGGCTTTGTTTCTTTCCCCTCACTTCCCCATTAGTGTCTAGGATTTAATGTAAACATGCAGAGATGGAGAGTGTTAACAGACATTTTATATCTGGGTGTTGAATAGGTGCTCAGAAGGTCTCTGGCACATTGCCAAAAAGTAATCTTGGATCTGGTTTCTTAAATGTGAATGAGAAAAATCCGATGACACTTTTATACAAATAGATACCCTGTAGTTTCTGCCTTTAGCATCTGTATCTACACACTTCACATAGGCTGGATACATGCTTAAATCCTCAGTTCAGGGGAAAAGAGTAGCTAACACAGGAAAAAGAATAGTTGTTAATTAAATGATTCATTAGATGGCCTTGTGGAGGCAGGCGGGAAATAGCTCTTCACATTCTTCCTTTATAGAATAAGGTATCATTTAATGATCTTTTCCTTTCAATTCTAAAATATTGCTTGCTATGTCTCCTTTTTTTCTGTCCGCCACATTTCTGCTACATACACTTTCATATTGTTTTCCTGCCTCTCCTTTGTTTTGGAAGACTTGTGTTTGCTCATCACATGTGAATGTCCAGTGCATTTCAGGGCTGACATACAGAGTAGGGATTGCATAAGGACTTTATAATTTTTTTGTATATTCAAAACTGAAT